TATAAAAATGCATACATAGAATAATAAAATTTATTATTAAATTCAACTGATTTATCTTGCTCTCGAAAAATTAGGTCATTGAAATTTTTATTCATTTATTTACTTATATAGGCTAATTTTAACTGATGAAAATTTAATGATTTTCCCATTTGAATTTTCTGATCAAAATTAATTCTTAAGTTAATGATTAAGCTTGTAATAAGTTCTATGACAATAAAATATCTGTAAAAATCCCCATATTGCATTGTTAAATATTTGAGCTTAACAACTTAAACGCAATATCAGGTTTTGAATTCAGAGTTGTCCTTATCCTAGACTGCTTGCCACCCAAGGCTATAGGGCCTAGTCTGCCCAGCTGGAGGGAGAAGAGATATATTTATACATTTAACAAGGGTATTAGCAACTAAGTGACTGTAAAGAACTAGACTTGAATTTAAATTTTTTTTTTTTTTTTTTTTTTTTTTTTTAGAATTGATTTTTTTTTTTTACCATTAATAAAAATTCATTGAAAAAAAAAACCCAAACTTTTTATTTACACTTGGTTATGAAAAAACTTTGACAAATCTATGACAGGAGGCATGAAATTGGCTTTGCCTGATTGTTTGTTTCTTCGTGGCAAGGTGCACTGGGCTAAAGTTTGATTTTTGCTGAAGAGCACAAATGATTTTTCTTCAATAAGATTCCTCAAACATTCAGGCTGGTAGAGGAAAATAAATATACTGTGTAATATATAAACGAAGCACCTACTCAAATACGAGTATCCATTAATAATAATATTTATAATGATAATATATATTGTGACGAATGCAAGCCCACACATATACGTTATTCCCCACTCCCACAACAGAACCCAAAGTAGACACGCATAGAAACACGCGTAGGCGAAGTCTAAAAAATAGATTCAGACCCAATAAGATAGCATATAAAAGAAATAACGCGATTGGTCAAAAGCAGCCAATCAGCAGTCGAGAAAATTAGGCGCCAAAAAGGTGACGTGCACGTGATGAGAAAAAAGAAAGCAGCCTTATCAGAGAGACCAGAAACTTCAAAAATTCTTGCCAAATCCAGGTCTCACACGCTGAGACAACACATTCCCAGAGGCAGAGAATCAGACCAGCCACTCAAATGCCAAGAATGTGAAGATAGTCCAGACGCAATTGGCCTGAACCCCTCAGAGATCATCGCCTTGAGAAGAAATTCTGAAATAAAATATAAGGCAGAGAATGTGATCCCAATTGAGAACATAAAGCTTCAGTCACTGAATCAAGAAAAGAGACTATTATCGCCTTTGGTCGATAAATGCATATCTCAGATAAGTGTATACCCTAGAAACCCCAGTATTACTATGATTCGCAAACACCCAATAATATTATGTTCTTGCACACACCTTTCCATATTCGTAAAACCAGACACTTGAGACTATACCCCTGTATATGTGTGAAACATTGCATTCGTTAATATTTGTCGTATTCCAACTAAAACGATGTTGTAGCTCACATGATATAATGTCTTTATTGTCGTTGCCATATACATGCTCTTGTTAATTAAATATTATATTATTCACCATGTTGTTTCGTTCATTTATGGTCACCGGTCGGCTGAATGTGTTATTCCAAGAATTAGACCATAATTGAGTTGGATTTCGCTTACTTTCTTTTTTTTTTATATTATCTGCTGATGATTCAATGATGTAAGGGAAATAACCCTAATATTTATTCAGTGATCCCATAACGGAAGGTTATTCGGGGAATATAAGATATAAACGAATCATCATGCAGACTACATGGATCTTAGCCTGGTGCTGGTTGTATCCCCCATCACCATATTAGTGCCAGATGAGGATCTATGACAATATATAAACTCTGTTTTATATGATGAAAGTCGGGGTTGGAATAATAGCTGAAGGATCTGCATTGGTGTTGTGAGAAAATTGTTTTATTTTCTCAACATATTTCAGGCATGTCTGAGTCATCCGTTGTAAAATATAGCAATTTGGGATTTGCATTTTTATTATTGATTAAAAGATTGATAGAAGATCAAAACCATTTTAATACTAAAAAAAAAAAAAATTTGATTTCTAATGTCATATGTTTGATACGACTTGGCACCTAGTATAATATAAAGTTTGATTAGCCAAGAAATGGTCAGCCACAGCGCCAGTTGTAATATAATGTTTAATAAGCCAAAAAATAGTTAGCTATGAGGCCATCTGTAATATAGAAATCTGATGACTTTCCTTTAGCTGCTAATAATCTTCTAATTGGCAAGTTGTAGGAAACAGAATTCATTAGGTTTAAGTTCAAAGCTCTGTTGGAACCTAGGGAAGGTTACTGAATAGAATAATCACATGAAGGTTGGTAATGAATTATAATACTTAGGAAAGAACAACACATATAAGATTTGACAGTAATGTGTAGAGAAGTAGTCAACTGCATTCCACAATGAATCTCCAACTGCAGGATATCTACCAACTGCCCCACGTAGTCAGATGTGGCACAAGGCCGAATTTAATGTGGGGTATCTGAGCCCATAGTCTTGGCCAAAAATTCCCCCGTAGACCCTGTATAAAACAGGGTTGGGTAGCTGTTTCCCGAGACGAGACTCTCCCCTTCGACATAGCCTCATCTGGTGATCCTCTCTGCCCAGAGGCAGAGAGTTTGACCAGCACAGCTGGAGACAAATCTCCAACTGCAGACCAACATACAGTATTTACTACTGTATTTATGTGAATGGGAACATACGCATTATCATCCATAGGTATGCTACAAGCAGCTCTGACCAATAAATAATTTAAATAGTGGATAAATTTCCTTTTCCTGTAATTTTAATTCTTTTGAATTCACTTGTGCATTTTCAGTGGTGAGCTTGCAGCACCTCATCCGACATGTCTTAAACAAGGTTATCAATATTTACATTATTTACATTCAAACAGGAGGCACAGGGGAGTAATAGATAATGGCTCGGATTGAGAAATCGGAGAGCAGAGTTTGAATTCCATTCGAATCCATTACATTCACTTATGTGCTAATATGCTTAAGAAAGGTACGAATTCTCTTCTTCTCCCATGGGTAAATAGCAAGACAGACCAGGTTCTATATTCTTGGATGGCAACTGGTCTACCATCAAGAAAAGAAATGGCATTAATAAAAAAAAAATTGCAAATCGTCAGTGCACTGGAAAATCTTATTATTGGGAAAGATACATGATAGAAAAAATTTAAAAATCATGTATAACTGACTGACATTCAAACAGATGTCCTCATCTTTGGCTGAAACATTGGGATAAAAACAACAGTATTGCCTCTAGACTTCAAGTTTCTGTTAATCTGAGTAATCTTCAGGGAATTTTCAACTGAAACTGTTTTTAATCTATAGCAGCAGATTGTTCTGTTTTCACTGGCTATGGATAACTTGTTAGTATTTAGTATTGCTTCATTATTGCTCACCATGTTTCTACTGATTCTATGTCTGTACTACCAGGCCCTGGGATTGGACACATAGCCTAGTAGATTAAAGTGTTGTTTCATGAATTTGGTAACATAGTGAGTTCAATCCCTGGGTTGGGTGGTACAGATTCTGACTCAATGGAAATGGGGTGAACAATAACTAAGTAGTACTAAATAAGAAAAGATAAGATATTCCTAGACACGGACAGTAGAATGAGAACAATCCATTTTTCATAGATTAAAGGGTCCAGTTCCGAATTTCCTGAAGAGTACAAGAGCAAAAATGTGATGATAATAACAATGTTATTCCAAAGGTAAATAAAGGTAATGCCTCACACAGACAGAAATAATTATCAGAACATTAATGATATCTATGTGGATGATACAGCTACTTACTCCTGTCTTGATAGTAAGTCTGATCAGTTTGGTGAAGTCAAACTGGCAGCTGATATCAAGAATTACCTATGGTCAGTTGTTAACTGGGACAAGGAATGGCTTGTTAATTTTAACACGTCCAAAACAGAACTTCTCATTATCAATCACCTGAAAGAACTCTTCCTGCCTTTCATCAGCATGGCTGATACTAACCTCCAGAAAAGTGACTCATTGTACTTTCTCAGCTGACATGAAGTGGAAAGATTATATTGAATCCTTTTCTAGGTCTGCTGCTAAGAAAGTTGGTTCAATGTGTTGTGCTAGACAATTTTTCTTGTCTGAATCTGTCTTACATATTTGTAAGTCTCCCATGATTAGAATATTGTTGCCACATGTTGTCTAGTGCTCCTGCTGTATATCTAAAGATTCCATGATAAAATCCAAAGAAGAATCAGCAATATTATTGGTCTTGACCTGGTGCCTCAGTTTGTCACTTTCTCACAGCTGTAATTTACCTTCCTTGTGCCTTTTCTATAAATACTTTCATGTTAATTATTCGGATGAACTCTCGCTTGAATTTAAGTGCAGTACTAGATTGGCAGCAAGGTCTCATCATTTTACAGTTGAAATGGCTAGATTTAACTAAGTTCTATGCTAACAGTTTCTTTTCTCACACTTCCCACTTGTGGAACTCTCTTCCAGCTCTTCATGCTTTTCCATCAATTTTGCTCTTTAAAAATTTAAATGCAATGTCAATCATTATCTACTGTCTTCTTGATTACTCTTCTTTTTGTTCTTGCTCTTTAGTAATGTTTCTCTTTTTTTCTTATTCTTTCACACTCAGTAACCCCTTGTGTCTTAGTGCCTCTATTGCTCTGCATGGGGTGAAATGATTAAAAGACAAAACTGACTACAGTGGATGATTGTTTCATATAAGTATTTCATAATCAAAACGATATAATTTGATTTATTTTTTTAGGTCATCTAATCACTATTTTTTTTTTTGGCTTTGTTCAACAATATGTGTCAATGATTTTGATAAATATATTACAATAAAATTGGAGTTATTGTTAGAATGTATACAAATTAAAATGACGAATTTAGTAAATTTAAAAGTGAGGGAAAATAAACTTATTTTCTTAAATTGTACATTATATTAGCCTCTAAAACGATTTTGAAGCTAAAAAACCAGTGCACTGTGCCCTGGGCTTTGTTTTACGTAGATATCTGAATGCATCTTATCCCTGGAAGAATAACAAAAGTCAAAAATTATCAAAGAATGGAAACAATTGAAAGAATGCAATAAAAAAAATTACATATTTGTGTATGAAGTTTTATGACATACTGACTTCTATATATGGGTCATATACTCCCAAACATTTCTGTTGATTCTTCTGATTTTTAGTCATATATTCAAGATCCTGAGTGTGACTATGAGTATAGATTTTTTTATGGTATCTCAACACCTCAAAAGCAATCAAGTAGTAGCAACCAATTTTTTTTTTTCAGCTGACACTGTCATGTTGCATTTTATGTTGTCTCTGGCTTCACTTCTTCAGATCCCAATTTTGTGAGAGACAGTAGTTGTAGAAACATTGTGAGAAGGAAAGAGAGACGTATGTCAACCAGTTGGTCAAAATCTCACGATCATATACTGGTTTGTTTCACTAATGAATCTGGGTGTAGTAAGACATCTTGACCTTTCTAATTCTTGTAGCTATTTGGTTGTGCCTTTTTGTTATTATATTAAAACTAAAACAAAGATAATCCATCACTGACAGAATTCTACACCCACCTGGTTCAAAACACCCCTACTTAATTTGGGTCATCATAGTTCTGACCAGTAGTTTGCCATTCTGGGACAGCTTATATAACACTATTTTATGTAGTTAAATGGTTGTTCCTCATATTTTAACTAAAAGTAATAGTAAAGTTAGTGATATTTATAATTTAATTTAAGATATATAACAATTGCCATTGGTTAGAAGTAAAATATGACCTCAAAATTTAAACTGTTTTGTTGAAGTTGCATATCAAACTCTATGGACAAATTTCATTTTAAATCAAAGCATATCAACCTCTATGGGTTATTTAATGCTGAAATCAACCAAACCAAACCAATCAAAATATTTAGATTTTGGCATTAAATAACCCATAGAGGTTGATATAGCAGTAAATATACAAAAAAATGGTGTGTAAGATAAGGATGAGTCTTTCCATTTTTCTTTAGACATTGAGGCAATTCTGTGAGAATTAGAAGTCCTTCCAAGATTCATTTTGGTGGCCACAATCTTAACAACATAACATATGCAGATGACACAGTGTTGATAGCAGACATAGAGAGGAAACTACAAAAATTCCTACAGAAGTTAGTGAAGGAAAGCAAGAAGAAAGGACTAAACCTCAATTGCAAGACAGAATGCAAAAGGAACAGCCCAACATTCAAGTTACAAATCAAACTAAATTTAAATATCTGGGAACTGTTTTAACAGAGGATGCAAAATGTAACACTAAAATCCAAAGATGCATTGGAATAGCAAAAATGCCTTCCAAAAGCTAAGCAAGTATTAAGAAACAAAGAAAAGAGTATTGAAATGTCAGGTAATATCAGTCCTCCTATATGGCAGAGAATATTGGACAATCTCCTCACAAATGAAGAAGAGATTTGAAACAACAGAAATATGATTCTACAGAAGGACGCTGAGTATAACATGGACCAAACTGAGAAATGACAAAATTTTAGAGAAGTTGGAAACAAAAAGGACATTTATACTTAACATCAGAAAGAGACAGTTGAAATATCTAGGACACATAATGAGGAAAGAAGGCTTGGAAAATTTGATACTCAGAGATAACTTATGCAAAACCGACCCAGCAAGCTGGAGTAAATGGATACCAGAACAGAGTTTACGAGAGATAACAAAAAGATAAAATTTATTAAAAGTTATAAAGGATAGGAAATTGTGGAGAGCCATGATTGCCAATATCCTGAAGGTAAATGTCACATAGAAGAAGTAGTACTTTCTGTTTAATAACCAGCAGGTGGTTCTTTTTAAAGTCTAGTTTTCTAAGCAGTGTTCTTTTTGTCTAAAGGAGAATGAGAAAGTGAATTAGTGGGTGAGGGCTTTGGAGATCAAGTGACAACAAAACTGGAATTGGGATATATCCAGGTGTTGGTCTTTATTAAGAGTCATGCTTAGGATTGGAGAGTCAGTTCTGGTCTGCCTTTGGTGGGAGATGGACTTGTCTGTCATGTGGTTCTGATGCCATCCATTTGTATTATAGTAGAAGTTGTCCAAAATATCACCTATCTACTCAACTGGACAAGCAGGTGAAACCATGAATAAAAATATCTATTTTGTAATATGGGAGACAGGGTTTGTGTAATTATTTTTTGACATGGTATTTGTCTTTAATCAAGGCAATAAAATCACTAAGACACAAGTTGTTACTGAGAAAAATATACTATTAAGGAGAGAATAGAATAAAAGAACAAGAATTAAAAAAGAAGATAATGTTTGACATTGTATTTAAATTTTTGAAGATCAAAGTTGGAAAGAAACCAGAAGAGATTTTCACAAGCAAGAAATGCAAGAGAAGAAATTAGAACTTAGATTACATCTAGCGATTTCAACAGTAAAATGATGAGACTTACCTGCCAATCTAGTAATGCACTTACATTCATGAAGTGTTAGGTTATAGAAATGGCACAGGGAAATTATGCTACAGTGGTTGGAAAATGACTGAAGCCCAGATGCCTGGTCAGGACCAATAACATCACTAAATTTGAAAGCTTGTCAGAACAATTACCATGAAAATATTTCTAGAAAAGGCATAGGGGAAGCTATGTTTAGGCAGTGGAAAGTGACTGAAGTCAAAATGCCTGGTTCAGACTCATAAAATAGGAAATATCAATAGAAATTCCAGTGGAAATCCTTTGAAAAATGCCTGGTCCAAACTCATAAAATAGGAAATATCAATTTTCCAGTTTAAAGTTCTGAAGTCAAGATGCAAATCCAGACTCATAAAATAGGAAATATCAATAGAAATTCCAGTGGAAAGTGACTGAAGTCAAGATGCCTGGTCCAGACTCATAAAATAGGAAATATCAATAGAAATTCTTCTATGGCATTGCATTGTTAAATATTTGAGAACAATGAAAAGATTTAAAATTGAGAACTTTTTCATTTCACCGAAACAGATCTTAAACACAAGAGTGTTATCTTCTTTTCTTTCTTTTTTTTCTTTCATTTTCTCACTGAAACCAAGTAGCATCTCTGATATGTCTTTTCCGTATTTCCATGTGATCAAAACAGAATAGTCCTTTATTTATGAGGATTTGTGCTAACTAAGGGAGAAGCCAGGAGAATTTTATATGTATTATTTTTTTTTTTATTAGTACTTACCTATGTAAATTTTATATGTGTTATTATTATTTTTTTTTATTAGTACTTACCTATATAAATTTTTTAAGGCAGGTGACCAAAGCTGTAAAGTTTCTAGCTTGGCTTGGATAAGGAGCACCTTGTAAGTCAGAGCTACTGCTGATACCAAAAGAAATATCACTCTGGGGGAGAAAACACAAAATCAAATGATTAGTATAAACAATAGTACAGAGATAAGTGTATGTGTGTGTGTGTGTATATATATATATATATATATATATATATATATATATATAATAATCAGGTGTTATAGCAAAAATGTCTAATTGTTAGGTTACGCTTTGTATCTTAGAATTGATTAAAGATATCTTACTGGAATTCTCCATTGTTTTTATAACACTATTAGACTCTACTTTGAGCAATAACAATGTATAATTACTCTCCAAGCTTAAAAAAAAGAATCATGATGAAATCAATCATAAATGAAAATGATATGTTCATCATTAATTAATAAGCTAAGGATTGGAAGCAAGTTTAAATATGTATATTATTCCAGGATCCTTTTCTAACTTATTTAAGATGATCTTCACCCTCTCTAATCTTCTAACTTTCTGTCCTGGAGTAACAAGGTACCTCACATGTTTCATGTATGATTTAATTTTCAAGTCTTTTTTCACTGCTCTTTGAACTGTCATAGTTGAAACTCCTCTCTCATGTGCCAAACATCTTATGGACTTATTTCATTTTATGAAATTTTGAGAAATTCATTTTCATAGGGCTTAATGTTTATACTAGTTATAATCACATGTCCTTGGGAAATTTAAATCATATTTTTTTTTTTTTTTTTATAAAACAGGAACCCAGTTACAGAAAATCTGTCCTAAATTGTAAAATCAAAACAGCAATAAAGCAAAGACATTCTTTAATCAGAAAAACTTTTAATTTTGATTTTTTTATGAATAAGATATATATATATATATATATATATATATATATATATATATATATATGGATATAAGGTCTTAAAAAAAAAGTTTTTTTTTTTTTTTTTTGATGAATAATGAATTTTTACAAGAATTGTTTTTTCTATTTTAAAATATTCTAATTAGAATAATTTAAAGTTTTAAATCTTTTAAAATTCTGTATTAATTTGTTGTGGTTAGGTGATATTATTAAATAAAAACTATATTTACTAATCATGAATGGGAAAGCTTACTAAAATTCTTTGAATCCCCCCACCTCCGTATTTATAAAGAATTTTGAATTTATTTTATATATATATATATATATATAAATGTGCATATTTTTGTAAATACAGATATCCATGCGTAGCGTTATCAGAAAATAAAGGCAGTAACTCTAGTAAATTTAAAGCCAAAGTACCTAAAATGCAATAAAATATTAGATTACTTAGAATATTTTCTTAAATTTCTTAGATTACTGGATAGTTACAAAATTATATTCAAGTAATTTTTTATAGATATGCTTGGGGAATTTTTCTACAGGAAACATAAGTCTATTGAGATAATTTGTAACACCTAAAAAAACACCCACCCAATGTTGAAAACTCCTCTTCTATGATGTTTTGATATAAAGGTAATATTTGTTCAAATCAGATTAATTAAAGTTTAAACCAGCTAATATTCCTCAAATAAAGTTTCAGAAAAGTATGTTATATTTTTGAAATATTTTTAATAAGCAGAATTACATTGCACTAACAGATTTGTAAGTATGGCTAAAAATGGCTAAAATTAAAAAAAAAAAAATAATAATAATAATTCCAATCAATTTAAATTCATTTTGAAATACACCAACATATTTTACTTATTGAAAATATTAAATTTAATCTATTAGCTTGAAATTATAGATAAAATAAAAACTTCAAGAAAGATTTTACATTTTAAAAAAATCCTTTTAAACCCTAGATATCACTTTCTTTGGCAGTACCTAGATATAGATATCTGTAAAAATACAAAAAAAAAAAGAGACAGTATGACTAAAAACAAATTGAAAACTTTTCTTTGCCAATGGGACTTTATCAAGACTTTATCAAATAAATGTAAGGATTTTATTTTGTAGCATGTATTTATAAACAGAAGTAAAAAATATTAAGTTTTTAAAATATTCTTAAAGTTAACTGTGTATGTAAGGGTTAATATATGGAAGATACTAACTGATATAATTTAATGTTTGATAAACAAAAGTGAATAAATGTTCCTGAAATATATATATATATATATTAGAAAATAAATTCAACAACATTTACTCATTTTCATTTATTAAGTCCGAAAGTGGATAAAACATCAGTTTGTTTTATTTTGTTTTACGGCATATCAACACCTCAATGGGTTATTTAATGCTGACAAGATTTTTAGGATTGGTTTGTATAGTGATTTTTCTAAGCCTGGCTTAGATGTGGCACAAGGCCGAAAGTATGGGGTACCCAGTGAGGATCGAACTTACTACTCAGTTGTAATTGATCTAGCAAGACAAGCTTTCTAACCATTACACCACGTCAAGGTGCCCAGATTGGTTTGTATAAATAGAATATGTATTCTTTGTAAGAAATCAGTCAGAGTTTTGGTTTATGGCATATCAACACCTCATTGGGTTATTTAATGCTGACAAGATTTTTAAGATAGGTTCATATGAATAGAATATATATTCTTTGTAAGAATTCAGGTTGTTTTTGTAAAGGGATTTTTGTTATGAGTCAAAAGTATGGCTGGTAATATTTCTTTTTCAAAAATGTATTGCTGGTATTTTTACTATAAAAATCTATTTTTATACTTTCATAGTGTTTTGACCCCAGTTTTGGGTGGGGTGTAACTATTTGCTCATAGCTGGGACCCTAACACGTGTTACCACCGATAGGGCAGTTTTAATCTAGTAAGAAATAATTTAGAAGCAAAAACTCAAAATTTCAAGGCTTAATAGCAAAAACTTGCAACAAAGAAACAATTAAAATATTACTTACATAGTTGCACATATTGCTAATACCATGTGTGCTTTCGGCAACCTACAATTACAAAATCACTAAAATGTCATTACTTACCAATTGTTAAAAGGACAAGAACAATTTTTTGGTACAAAACATAAGTGTCATGTAAAGAAACGGAGATCTGGTGAATATTAGGTTTGAAAAGAAAAAAGTGGCTAGCTTTTTGTTCAACAGGAGGATCTTTTGAAAAATTTAAAATATAGGGCAATAAAATGAAATTACCAATAAATATGAGTCATCTCATGAAAACAAAACAAACGACAGATCAAGATCAAATTAAGGTACTGGATAATTTTAACATAACCCTAACCCTTCCAGTGACCCCCAAGACCTTGTACAGTATGAACCTTACTGTAAACTCACCTATAGTCGCTTTCTCACAGACATGCTGTCACTTGCCCTTGACTTTTCTACATGTACTTTCACGGTAACTGCTCTGACAAGCTATTTTTGCTGGTTCCCAAACTGCATGAATTTAAACGTGTTACTAGGTTGGCATCTCAGTCCCACCCTTTCACTGTCAAAATGGTTAAACATAGCCATCTCTTCTACTTCAATAACTTCATGTCTCGCACTTCCCATCTGTGGAACTCCCTTCCTCTTACTTGCTTCCCTGACAGTTATAGTCTTCAAATATTTAAATGTAATGTCAATTGACATTTTCTGATGCTTTGATCTAGTTCCCTGTCCTTCTCTTTATCCTTTCCTCAATCACGTCTCTTTACTCTTGCTCGCACTCTCTGTAACCCCTTGCATGCAAGTGGCATTCCCGCCTTGCTTGGGGTGAAATGCTTAAAAAAAATAAAAATGTTATTCTGCTTTCACAATTGAATACATGGTAGATAAAACTCAGCTTTTGTGCAAATACATATTTGTGTAAATATAATCACTAGAGGCAGTGATATATGTGTTTTATGTTCTAGTTGTATTTTGGAATACAGTTTGATTTCTTTAACAAATTTTAGTATATTATATATGTTAATGTCGTGAAAGAGTTCTTTCATGTTGGTTGGTTGTTTGGTGTAGGAGCATATCAGCCTCTATGGGTCATTTAAGGTCAAAATTTAAATAATTTGAATACATTTGTATACCTTCAACTACAGATAATATCAATAGCTGTTGTTGGTCATTTTTTTTTTTTAATATAAAAATATATTTTTGTACTTTCATACTATTTTGTTTTTGTTTGGGGTTTTAGCTGGGACCCTAATAGATGCTACCACCCCAGGTCAGGGAGGACCTGGGAACAACAGCAATTAAGAGGTGGTTCCATGCTCACCAAAACATTCAATCTCCCAATCAGAGACCTTTCTGCTAGATCTAGTTTATTGTCATATACAGGACTAGTATAATATTTTAAACTTATCAATGAAGTTCTTTGAAATGGGTTGATTTAAAAGCTGGCCACTTAAGAAGAATTGTCCCAGTCTTTACTTTTTGGCAGTAATTTTCAACAAGTCTGCACTCGTGCCCTTTGGCTGAAATATCATAATAAGAACTATAAAGATGAGGACAATAGTCTGAATATAAATAGTGTAAATAATGGTAATTCTTCATCCAAGAAATCTCTTCTTTATTCAAAACTCAAGAACAGGAAAAAAAAAACTGAAATAAAATGGCCCAGCTTACAAGGAATGTCACTGTCTTCTGACCATACTAGGACTTAATATTGGGAAAATATGACTGATTACAAAAGTAAACATGCAAAAACTACCTAAAAATTATTTTTTTAAATAGAACAATGGTGATTACTATAATTTCTGGCTTACAGGACGCACTTTTTTTCCTAAAAAATACCCTGAAAAATATGTGTGCATCTTCCAAGATGTAAGGCAACATCCAGACTCAAGTAAGCTTGGAAGGTTACCTAATTTGCTTGACTGATAGGGACGTGGATTTTTATGTTGAATCATTACACTATAATGTTAGCTATCTAATTCAGTCTTTTATATGATGTAACTTCAGTACTTAGCTGTTACAAGTATTTCCAAGATTATAAACCTTCCTGGAGCTGAGCCACAACCTTAGTGGAAGCCTTTCTGCTCTTCACTAGTATGTCATTACCATACAAAGAAAATCTGACAAATGATTAATATAAACAATACATGGTGCCAGTATGTGAGGGACACATAGTGAATGTGTTGTTGTATGGGAATTACTGTTTTTTTTTTTTTTTTTGTTTTCTTAGAAATTTCTTTCCAATATTAGGGTGCGTCTTCCAAGCCGGGAAATATGGTAATATGCTTGAAAATATATTCCTATGAACAAATAACACAAATTTTTTTTCTGTCAAATAAAATCTAAAGTTTGTCTGGAAAGTATTTAAACATTTAACATTAAGAAAAAAATTGGTTTGCCAAAGGCAATGTTATTCCAGTATCCCTTCCACTTTTTAAAATCTATCTGAAAAATTCTCATTCAGCATCACCATAAAATGCTTTTTAACTTTCCCTCTAATCTCATCCATCATCTCAGATCTTTGCTTCTTTTAAACAATATTTTTAGCTTTGGGAAAAGGCAAATATTGTAAGGTGTCATATCTGGGTTACAGAGCCCAGGCTGACTAACTTGGGTAATGCAATGGTTTGGTTAGAATTCCCTGCACAAGAATGCAATTGGCATGCAGTGTTATCACACTGCTGACTGGGTAACCACATGGGAGAGTGCTCAGGGCTCCTGACTAATATTTTTCAATATTTTCAACAGAACAGTCTTTGTCACCACAAAATCTTAAACTATCCAGGAATCAAAATGTCATTTTGTGTCCTTTTTTTTTTTTTTTTTTTTTTTTTTTTTTTTTTTTTTTACAATTTTATCATTTATATTTCTTAACAGTAGAATCAAAAATACCTTTAAAATTCAAAGATCCAAAAAATGTTGTATGACTCTTCGTAAAAGTTTTTTACAATTGTTTTTCTGATAACTTTCTTTATAAAACTGCTTGATGGTTAACAGAAATCAATAGCGGAGTTTAAACTTAGTCAGGAATTTGTTTTAAAATTCATGTAAAAGTGTTTTTTTTTTGTTTATAGCTAGTATATAAACAGAAAATAAGAGAATATTTGGAAAGAGACTGTGGAAACTAGATATTAAGGCAAATAAATTTTTTTCATGATCAAATTTCCCTTACAAAGTTTTTACTTTATAAATGTAGAATATTCTTGAAAAATGGCCTAACCATTAATATGTTTATTGACGATATTTCTGAAATGTCACGATAAAAAAAAAAAAAATAAGGAGTCACACTAGTAATAATAATAATAATACATTTAAGAAATGACTAAAAGTAAGAAAATAAATTGGTAAATTTGCAGATTAAGCCCCAGAAATGAATTGTATTGAAAATTTCCATTTTGGAGTAAATTTGCATGCTTATTTTGAAAATAACAATAAAAGTTTGTGGAAGAAAACCATTTAGGAGTTATCGACAATATAAGTTCGGCTTAATTTGTGTTATGGCTATGGCCCAGCAGACATTACTGGTTTTGTTTACATGCGCTTGCCTCAAATCATCATGTGTGGAAGCTTCACTTGTCTTGTTTACTGCGCATACAATTCGCAAAATTTAAATTAAATTTTGTGAATTGCGTAGTAATCAAGACAAGTAAGAAGATCAGTCAAAAGGCTGTTAATTAAGTAAGCTTCCATGTATTGCTACTCAAGGCAAACATATGTAAACAATGCCAGTAATGGTAGCCAGGATGGATGTGAATAAGGCTGAAATTATATTGTTGATAACTCCTAAACAACTTTCTTTCGCAAACTTTTATTGTTATTTTGGAATTAATCAGGCAATTTCACACCAGAATGGAAGTTTTTATTACAATTGGTTTCTGGGACTTAATCTGCAAATTTACCAATAAATTTTACTGAAAAATTATAAGGTGACTAAAAAGACAAGTAGTAACAAATAAAGACATTTGACTGTCTGTCGGTCAAATGCCTTTTGTTTTCCTTATGTATTTTACAATACTAATGTTTGCTTCTTTTTTTTTATATAATCACTTACCGTAACAACTTCAAGGCTAATTGGCAGAAAGACTCATACGTTTGTTGACAGTTGAAACCTGAAAAAGGAAAGGGATGTGATTGAATCAGTAAAAAAACTTGTTTGAAAAATGGCAAAATATTAGACAGATTCAAATAGAGGTTGCATCGGTCAAATTGAATGAATTGTAAAATAGTGTACCATTTGTTTAGGATTAGTTATTCCTTTGACCAAAAGAAATGTTTGCTTGTCTGTCTTTGCCACCCAGAAATATAAAAGCAAATTTATATTTAAATCACAGGTTATTTTTTCTCATTTATTAACTAGGTGTGGAATCTACTGCTTGTCTGTTTACGCAAAGGTTGTCTTGAAAATAAAATCTATTTACCATTTTCTCTGAAACTATTAAGTAAATTATGTTTTCACACCATTAGATAAAGTGATTCTAACTTTATGATTGACATAGATTGCATTTTTCTTTAGGCATTGTATAACTAAAGTGAAAGATCAAAAATATTTTTATGGAAAAATTGTTCTGTGAAACTTTTTTTTTTTCAAGACACACAAATTTCTTTCTAATCTGGACAAGAGAAATTATAGTTTTACACTGAACAGTTACAAATGATAATGGTTCCTGTTAAAGATCATATAATGAAATAGAGGGAGACACCTCATTTCTACAGAAGGATGAAAACATTCTTTTTTATTATGTTAAAACCTTTCCAGGGGTTTAATAAATCTGCATACAATGAGCAGAGATATGTCAGAACTCATAGATATGCACTCAGGGAATGAAGTTGATGGTTATATATGGTTCACCTTTTCCCAATAAAATAGTAAGATTTCATCATTTTGTAATAAATGTATAAAAAGGATTGAACCTGGATCAAACAGGGAAAACAGAATTGAACTGGATCAAACAGGGAACCCAGGATTGAAACTGGATCAAACATTGTTTTTAACAACTGTCTCCCATCATTCTACAAAATTTCACGTACAGTCAAATTTTTCTGGCAAATGTGCTGTGGCTTCCCTCTGTCTTTTCTACAAATATTTTCATGGCAACTGCTCTGACAAGCTACTTTCTCTGGTACCCAAACTGCATGAATTTAAGCGTGCCATTAGGTTAGCATCTCAGTTCCACCCTTTCACAGTCAAAATGGTTAAATGTAGCCATCTCTTCTACTCCAATAGCTGCATGTCTTGTACTTCCCATCTGTGGAACTTCTTTCCTCTTACTTGCTTCCCTGATAGCTATAATCTTCAAATGTAATGTCAATCAACATATTCTGATGCCCTGATCTTGATCCCTGTCCTTCCCTTTATCCTTCCCTCAAACACCCCTCATTACTCTTGCCCTCACACTCTGTAACCCCTTGCATACTAGTGACATCCCCGCCTTGATTGGGGGTGATATGCTTAAAAAAAAATTAAATTGTTCTCTAGAGACTGGAACAAATAAGAATCCAAAGGTCAGGAGAATATCATGGGTGCTGGATCTGGGATCCCATTTTAAATCTTTAAATTTTTTTAAGGGTCTGTTTTGCAATATGCAGTCTTGTGTTGTTGTAGTGGAAAATGACACCTTTTCAATTTGCCAAAATCAGACCATTTTTCTGAAATCAAAGTCTCTTCAAATAGTGAAAAGCATTTGAGATATCAATTTTCAAACTATTAGCAATCTCTTCTGTTGTTCAGAATGTGGCTGATTGTTTAGGTTCAGATCACTCAGATGAAATCTGCCAAACCATTTTTTAAGCATCTTAAGAGCTGGAGCACAATCCAAATAAACCTTCTGAATGTTTTTTTTTTTTTGTTACAGTTCTGACACTTACTTCTTTCTGAAATTCATAGAGTATAATATGGCAAAAGTAGAATTTTTCATCCTCAATCTTTTATGCCTTAATTTGTGAACAAAATATTGGCATTCACAAAGTCTAACTCGTGAGTGAACAATGCAAAGTTAGAATCTTGAGCACACCAGAAATCAGCACCAATAAAATGCCAGAGTCAAGTTGCACTCATTTTAAGAATGAAAATCAGGCACAAACTTTTGCATTGATCTGATACAACAGCATCGCCAATAGCATAATGTTTTTTTCTTTTTCAAGCTATTTCACACCAAGCAAGGTAATAAAGCCACTGAGAGTGAAAGAATCTTAAGAAAACTTTACCGAGGATAAAGGACAAAAAGAACAGGATTCAAAAAGACAGTAGAAGATGACGACTGATTTTGCATTTAAATTTTTGAAGATCATAATTAACAGAAAACCAAGAAGTTCTATTGGTGAGAATTGTGAGAGAAGAAAGGATTAGAACAAGACTTATGTTACATCTAGCAATTTCAACAGCAAAATGATGAGACCTAACTGCCAGTCTAGTACTACACTTAAATTCATGAAGCCGAGGTACCAAAGAGGAAGGCAATATTTTGAAAATACAAAAATGTGGCAGAAGGCAAAGGAGGGGATAGGGAAAGGCTGGTCTTCAATCTGTCTTATCTTAAATTTAGCTAGTCATGATTACTGACCCAAACATACCACAGTATTCCTTACATCAAAATGACACATTCTTACTACAGCCAATATAATACCTCAAAGTCTCTATGAAAACCTAACTAGTCCCCATATGTACAATTTGTCTGTGGGGTTGGGAAATAAAATAACAACTTTTAAAAATTAAATCCCAATTTGAGAGGCAAGCTCATCAAAATTATTACAGTGGAAATATTTATGGAAAAGGTGCAGGGAAGTTATGTTATGATGGTAAGAAAATAATTGAAGCTGAGATGTCAGGTGTAGGCTGATAACATAGCAGATTTCTTTGAAGTTTGTCTAGAATCAAAATACAGAGTAGAAGCACCAGACCAGATGTGACAATGCCTGCATGTGTGGTTTTGGCCTGATGCTTCACAAAGGATTAAAATAAACTAATTTTTTAAAAAATTCTTCAGTTAATCACAATAAATGTGTTTGCTTATTTCATGCAGTCTGTTCCTTTCATAATTTTTTTTTACTACAAACTAGTGACCTTCAAGATTAAAATTATATGCAAACTTACATTCTGACAAATAGGGCATGATAAGCCAGTTATCGTGGACAGTAACTGGTTTTTTCTGGGTATGTCTTGTTCCATGGCCAGATGAGGTGGATGTTTTTGGTTGTGTTTTAGATGTGGTGCCATCATTGTGGGTACTGGTCATTTTGGTTGCTGCACTTGCAGAAGGATGCTTGTAAGGTTGGGTTTTATCAACATGACATGGTTTCCCATCTTCTGAGTCAGAGGATTCAGCTACTCCACTGTAATCTGAACAAAACATGCTCGATTCTGACTGACTCTTTCGTTTCGGCATCAAAGGGTGGATGATGGCACCAGACAGATTATTCTTACTCAGTGGCATGGACAATGTGGATTTTGCCAAAGCAGCCACACCCGATCCCTGCAGAGAGAAAAAAAATGCATCATTAATAACGATAATAATAAATCTTTAAATGTTTGTGTTATTGTTGTCACTGAGGCATATGAATAAAAAGTTTTGTTATTTGTTTTTATCTTTGTTATTATCTCAATGTTTCAGTCAGTATAGGCTCTGGCCTTTATCAGATGCCATGCCAGGGATATTTTGTTTAGTTCTTATTTAGTACTGCTCAGTTATGGCTCTCCCCTGTTTCCACTGAGTTCAAGTACACAGGTCCAAGAATTGAACTCACCAAATTCAAAAATATTTGTATCCTTTCACATTCGACCGACTCCTCAACATTCAATCAACTGTCACCCTCCAAATGTATACTTTGCCAGGACACATGACGACGTCATCGCAAATGATGCAGGAAGTCATGCAAACTGAGACCTTGAGAGCCAGTATTTACTGGGCGGTTTTGAGCATGTTAAATGTGGAGGGATTAAAGTATTCTGCTATTTTCATGTATACATTATTATCTATGACTCCAGTGTGTTATTAATATTATTATTATTATTAAGAGACTGTGATCAAAGTCTACAGAGGTGGTGTTTTGAGAACCCTTCTGGACAGCACTTGGCCCTAAGTTACATATTGCTGTCACATTTGTTTCTGTGAAAGATTCTGCCAGCTCTGCTTATGATCCATCCAAAATATTTTCATTGGATGGGCTCAAAAAAGCCGAGGCCCCAACTACTGAGGCTAGCATGATGAAGACTGGGTAGAACGTATTTCTAGAATGGAAAATTCTTGCTTGTTGAAAATGATACGATATGGTAAATTGTCATATAGTCACAAAAACAGGGATACTCTGAGAAAGTGTTATAAAAATAGATTGAAGAAGGATTTCGCTGGATAACATCAGCACCCACTCCACCTATGGGGATTTTCTCAGCGTAACTTAGATATGGCATAAGGCTGAAAGTATGGGTTACCCAGCAAGGATCGAACTCAATATGTAGTCATAACTGATCTAGCAAGACAAGCTTGTTAACCATTACACCACATCAAAGTTCCCTCTTACTAAGTGTAGCTTAGATGTGGCACAAGTCCAAAAAGTATGAGGCACCCAGTAAGGATTGAACTCACTACTCAGTAGTAATTGATATGGTGAGACAAGATTGTTAACAATTGTACTGCATTGATGTGCTCAACTAGTAAAGCCTAGATATGGCACAAGGCCAAAAGTATTGGGCACACAGTGAGGATCGAACTCAATACTCAGTAGATGTGGTGAGACAAGCTTGCTGGCAATCAAACCACAGTGAAGTGGACCATAGGAGCTTTTGGCATATCATTTTCCACTAAGCTGCAAGAAATATTGAAGTAAGATGCTGTGCCAGCTTAGGGAAAAGACAACTAGATAAAAGAAAAAAACAGCATCTAAGTGGAACCTCCCACAGAGCATAAATTCTTCTGCAGCTACTATGGAAGGTCCTGCCAGTTTTGTATCAGCCTTACTAGTAACCAGTACATATGCATCAAGCAAAGACAAAAAAATGATCTAACATTCAAATTCATTTTTTAAATAGAAGCAACTTACAGCAATAAATGATATATTAGGGGACATAAAACTATTTTCATATTTTTTTTTTTTTTTTTTTTACAAACCTTTATTTCAAAGGTTATTTCATGTACACATTTAAAAGCTATGACTCCACTATTATTAATGAAATATATATATATATATGTGTGTGTGTGTATTGTGTTTATACAGAATTTTAATAGATACAATTTATTTCAGTAAATGCTCTGTTTTTTAATTAAACAGTATTAATTACATTTACATCCTTCGTAGAAAATATGTGCTTCTCTGACAGGAATCGAACCTGTGTCTTATACAGAACTGTCATTTGATCTGGCATGCTGTACTACTTAGCTTAGTTGGACTTAGTCCGTTTCATTGTATATTGTCATTGTTTATGTTAAGATATGTTTTGTGAGCAGATATTGAGAGATTGAGAATAATTGTCAGATAATGTGTGTTTGAAAACATTAATTTGGACTTTGCTAACCATATACTTAAGTTGTAGAGACCATCAGATCAAATGATGGATTTGTGTAGGACACAACTTATTTTCCTGTTGGAGAACGCATATTTTCTCTGAAATTGCTTGAATATTCAGGCTGGTAAATGAAATTAATACTATTTAATTAAAAAAGAGACCATTTACTTTGTATGTATTAAAATAACATATAAACAGAAAATATATTAAATAATTGTTGGACTTAGTCCATTTCATTGTGTGTGTGTGTGTATATATATATATATATAATGTGAACATTGAAGTCAACACTTAGAGGCAGGCTGGCAGGATGTTTCATGATACGATTGCATCTATCATGAAAGGAGATAAATTGCATCTACTCAATGTTCATTTTTATATTTACAAATGCTCTATCGCTAATATTGAGCACTTTATCCCATAAATGTAGGACACCTTAAGAGTATATTTCTTTATATAATCATATTATTGTTATGAGAACAATTAATTGTCTCTTTTGTTTCAGATGTGATAATGGTAGATACAATTATTGAAATCATGGAAATTTTGAGGCATTATTTGAAATTGGACTTTGAAGTTATTAAAGCAATTCCCATAAATCAGTAAGTAGAAGGAAGTGAAACAATAGCTGACCATATAGTAAAATTGGTTCAAGCATTTTAAGGATGGTGACTTGTTCCTTGGAATGAAGGAAGTGAAACAATAGCTGACCATATAGTAAAATTGGTTCAAGCATTTTAAGGATGGTGACTTGTTCCTTGGAATGAAGGAAGTGAAACAATAGCTGATCATATAGTAAAATTGGTACAAGCAAAGAATGATGACTCTTCCTTTGATATAAAGGAAGTGGAAGAATAGCTGACCATATAGTAAAATTGGTTCATTCGATGCATTTAAATATACCTGTTTGCATCAAATTGGTATAGCTGACCATATAGTAAAATTGGTTCAAGCAAAGAATGATGACTTTTCCTTTGATATAAAGGAAGTGAAACAATAGCTGACCATATAGTAAAATTGGTTCAAGCATTTTAAGGATGGTGACTTGTTCCTTGGAATGGAGGAAGTGAAACAATAGCTGACAATATAGTAAAATTGGTTCAAGCAAAGGATGATGACTTGTCTTTTGATATGAAGGAAGTGAAACAATAGCTGACCATATAGTAAAATTGGTTCAAGCAAAGTATGGTGACTTGTCATTTGATATAAAGGAAGTGGAAGGAAGTGAAACAATAGCTGACCATATAGTAAAATTGGTTCATTGGATGCATTTAAATATACCTGTTTGCATCAAATTGGTATAGCTGAGCATATAGTAAAATTGGTTCAAGCAAAGAATGATGACTTGTCCTTTGATATAAAGGAAGTGGAAGGAAGTGAAACAATAGCTGACCATATAGTAAAATTAGTTCAAGCATTTTAAGGATGGTGACTTGTTCCTTGGAATGGAGGAAGTGAAACAATAGCTGACCATATAGTAAAATTGGTTCAAGCATTTTAAGGATGGTGACTTGTTCCTTGGAATGGAGGAAGTGAAACAATAGCTGACAATATAGTAAAATTGGTTCAAGCAAAGGATGATGACTTGTCTTTTGATATGAAGGAAGTGAAACAATAGCTGACCATATAGTAAAATTGGTTCAAGCAAAGTATGGTGACTTGTCATTTGATATAAAGGAAGTGGAAGGAAGTGAAACAATAGCTGACCATATAGTAAAATTGGTTCATTGGATGCATTTAAATATACCTGTTTGCATCAAATTGGTATAGCTGACCATATAGTAAAATTGGTTCAAGCAAAGGATGATGACTTGTCCTTTGATATAAAGGAAGTGGAAGGAAGTGAAACAATAGCTGACCATGTAGTAAAATTAGTTGAAGCATTTTAAGGATGGTGACTTGTTCCTTGGAATGGAGGAAGTGAAACAATAGCTGACCATATAGTAAAATTGGTTCAAGCATTTTAAGGATGGTGACTTGTTCCTTGGAATGGAGGAAGTGAAACAATAGCTGACAATATAGTAAAATTGGTTCAAGCAAAGGATGATGACTTGTCTTTTGATATGAAGGAAGGAAACAATCGCATTGACCATATAGTAAAATTGGTTCAAGCAAAGTATGGTGACTTGTCATTTGATATAAAAGAAGTGGAATCGTGAAAACAATAGCTGACCATATAGTAAAATTGGTTCATTGGATGCATTTAAATATACCTGTTTGCATCAAATTGGTATAGCTGACCATATATAACAAAATTGGTTCAAGCAAAAAATGATACTTGTCCTTTGATATAAAGGAAGTGGAGGAAGTGAAACAATATTTGACCATATAGTAAAATTGGTTCAAGCAAAGGATGATGACTTGTCCTTTGATATAAAGGAAGTGGAAGGAAGTGAAACAATAGCTGACCATGTAGTAAAATTAGTTCAAGCATTTTAAGGATGGTGACTTGTTCCTTGGAATGGAGGAAGTGAAAAATAGCTGACCATATAGTAAAATTGGTTTCAAGCATTTTAAGGATGGTGACTTGTTCCTTGGAATGGAGGAAGTGAAACAATAGCTGACAATATAGTAAATTGGTTCAAGCAAAAGGATGAAAAACTTGTCTTTTGATATGAAGGAAGTGAAACAATAGCTGACCATATAGTAAAATTGGTTCAAGCAAAGTATGGTGACTTGTCCTTTGATATAAAGGAATGGAAGGAAATGAAACAATAGCTGACCATATAGTAAAATTGGTTCATTGGATGCATTTAAATATACCTGTTTGCATCAAATTGGTATAGCTGAGCATATAGTAAAATTGGTTCAAGCAAAGAATGATGACTTGTCCTTTGATATAAAGGAAATAGA